TCCCCAAAACCCCTGGGAGCTCCCCAAAATTCCTGGGAGCTCCCCAAAATTCCTGGGAGCCCCCCAAGATCTCTGGAAGCTCCCCAAGATCTCTGGGAGTTCCTCAAGATTCCTGAGGGCTCCTCAAAGTGTCCCGGGGGAAGGGGCTGAGATGTCCCTGGGGGGGGATTGAGAACCCCCCAAAAAGTCCCAGCAACCCTGGGAGTGATCCCAGACCCCCCCCCAAAACCCTCCAGAGATCCCAAAATTTGGGGGAATCCCCCAAGAACCCCCCTTTGAGGGACCACCCCCCCGAACTCCTTGGGACCGGGGTGGCCCCCAAATCCCACGTTCCCCCCAAAAAGGAACCCCCTGGTTGAGATCTGGCATCACCTGGGGACTCCCAAAATTCCGGAGGACCCTCCAAACCCACTGAGGACCCCCCAGAATCTCCCGGGGACCCCAAACCCCCACCTCGATGACGTCCTGCTTGGCCTTCTTGATGGTGTTCTGGATGTCCTGGTAGGTCTTGGCGTCGGCGATGGAGTCCCCGATCCCGATGGTGTGACCTGGGCAGGGGGTGGCACTGGGGGTTCAGGGGGGGCCCCCCAACTCAGGGTCCTCCCCCACCCCAGATCTGACCCCCCCCGTGCCCCTCACCCCCAAAAAACCCCGACCCTGGGTCACGTTGGGGGAGATATTGGGGGGGTTTTGGGGTGGGAAAGGGGGGAAATGTGGACAAGGAGGGCCTTGGAGGGGCAAAAAGGGGGGTTGGGACGACCCCCAAGACCCCCCCAGGCCCCAAAAAAGGGGTCCAAGGACCCTCCAAGTCCTTGTTGTCCCCAAGAAGAGGATCCAAGAGCCCCCAGGGACACGCAAGTCCCCTCAAAGTTGAGCTCCCAGAAGGTCCCCAGGTCCCTCAACCCCCGTTTGGTGCCTCCAGGAGGGGTCCCAGCCCCCTGTGGACCCCCTCAGACCCCCCAGATCCCCCCAAAAAGGGGTCCAAGGACCCCCAAGTCCTTGCAGGCTCCACCAAGAGGATCCAAGAGCCCCCAGGGACACCCAAGTCCCCTCAATGCTCAGCTCCCAAGAGGTCCCCAGGTCCCTCAACCCCCGTTTGGTGCCTCCAGGAGGGGTCCCAGCCCCCCGTGGACCCCCTCAGACCCTCCAGATCCCCCCAGAAAAGGGGTCCAAGGACCCCCCAAGTCCTTGCAAGCTCCAAGGATGGGGTCCAAGAGCCCCCAGAGACACCCAAGTCCCCTCAAAGCTGAGCTCCCAAGAGGTCCCCAGGTCCCTCAACCCCTGTTTGGTGCCTCCAGGAGGGGTCTCAGCCCCCCGTGGACCCCCCTGGATCCCCAAAAAGGGGTCCAAGGACCCCTCAAGTCCTTGCAGGCTCCAAGAAGAGGATCCAAGAGCCCCCAGGGACACCCAAGTCTCCTCAATGCTGAGCTCCCAGAAGGTCCCCAGGTCCCTCAACCCCCGTTTGGTGCCTCCAGGAGGGGTCCCAGCCCCCCGTGGACCCCCTCAGACCCTCCAGATCCCCCCAAAACGGGGGTCTAAGGACCCCCCAAGATCTTCCTGCCCCCAAGAATGGGGTCCAAGAGCCCCCATGGACACCCAAGTCCCCTCAATGCTCAGCTCCCAAGAGGTCCCCAGGTCCCTCAACCCCCGTTTGGTGCCTCCAGGAGGGGTCTCAGCCCCCCGTGGACCCCCCTGGATCCCCCAAAAAGGGGTCCAAGGACCCCCAAGTCCTTGCAGGCTCCACGAAGAGGATCCAAGAGCCCCCATGGACACCCAAGTCCCCTCAAAGCTGAGCTCCCAGAAGGTCCCCAGGTCCCTCAACCCCCGTTTGGTGCCTCCAGGAGGGGTCTCAGCCCCCCGTGGACCCCCCTGGATCCCCCAAAAAGGGGTCCAAGGACCCCCCAAGTCCTTGTTGTCCCCAAGAAGAAGATCCAAGAGCCCCCATGGACACCCAAGTCCCCTCAAAGCTGAGCTCCCAGAAGGTCCCCAGGTCCCTCAACCCCCGTTTGGTGCCTCCAGGAGGGGTCTCAGCCCCCCGTGGACCCCCCTGGATCCCCCAAAAAGGGGTCCAAGGACCCCCCAAGTCCTTGTTGTCCCCAAGAAGAAGATCCAAGAGCCCCCATGGACACCCAAGTCCCCTCAAAGCTGAGCTCCCAGAAGGTCCCCAGGTCCCTCAACCCCCGTTTGGTGCCTCCAGGAGGGGTCTCAGCCCCCCGTGGACCCCCTCAGACCCTCCAGATCCCCCCAAAACGGGGGTCTAAGGACCCCCCCAAGATCTTCCTGCCCCCAAGAACGGGGTCCAAGAGCCCCCAGGGACACCCAAGTCCCCTCAAAGCTGAGCTCCCAGAAGGTCCCCAGGTCCCTCAACCCCCGTTTGGTGCCTCCAGGAGGGGTCCCAGCCCCCCCCGGACCCCCCCGAGCCCCCACTGACCCTCGATGAGCAGCCAGTTGTTGATGACGGTCTGGATGTTGCTGTAGAAGAGCCGGGTGGTGTCGTGGCCCATCTCCAGGTAGGAGATGTGCACCAGGGACCCGGCCGAGGTGCCCAAGGACTTCTTGCACAGGATGCCCATGATCAGCTCCCCGTTCTCCACAATCACCTGGGCAGGGGAAAGGGGGGGGTCAGGGCCCTGACCCAAAGGGGACACCCCATTTGGGGCACCCAACACCCCATTGTGGGGTCAGGACCCCCCTGGATTGGAGACACCCCCTTTGGGGCACCCACCACCCCACTGTGGGGTCAGAAACCCCCTTGGGGCACCCAACACCCCATTGTGGGGTCAGGGCCCTCCTGGATTGGGGGCACCCCCCTTTGGGGCACCCAACACCCCATTGTGGGGTCAGAACCCTCCTTGGGGCACCCACCACCCCATTGTGGGGTCGGGACCCTCCTGGATTGGGGACACCCCCCTTGGGGCATCCATCACCCCATGGAACCCCCCCTGGACTGGGGACACCCCCTTTGGGGCACCCAACACCCCACTGTGGGGTTGGGACCTCCCTGGACTGGGGACACCTCCCTTGGGGCACCCAACACCCCATTGTGGGGTCGGGACCCCCCTGGATTGGGGACACCCCCCTTTGGGGCACCCACCACCCCATTGTGGGGTCGGGACCCTCTTGGATTGGGGACACCCCCCTTGGGGCACCCAACACCCCATGGAACCCCCTGGATTGGGGACACCCCCTTTGGGGCACCCACCACCCCATTGTGGGATCAGAACCCCCCTTGGGGCACCCAACACCCCATTGTGGGGTCGGGACCCCCCTGGATTGGGGACACCCCCCTTGGGGCACCCACCACCCCACTGTGGGGTCGGGACCCCCCTTGGGGCACCCAACACCCCATGGAACCCCCCTGGACTGGGGACATCACCCTTGGGGCACCCAACACCCAAGGGGGGGTTCAGGTCCCACCAAAGCCCCCCAAATCACCCTCAAGTCCCACCAAAGCCCCCCCAGACCACCCCAAATCCACCCTAGACCTCCTCAAATCACGCTCAAATCCCACCAAATCCTCCCCAGACCACCCCAAATCCACCCTAGACCTCCTCAAACCCCCCAAATCACCCTCAAGTCCCACCAAAGCCCCCCCCAGACCACCCCAAATTCACCCTAGACCTCCTCAAATCACCCTCAAATCCCATCAAAGCCCCCCCAGACCACCCCAAATCCACCCTAGACCTCCTCAAATCCTCCCAAATCACCCTCAAGTCCCACCAAATCCCCCCCAGACCACCCCAAATCCACCCTAGACCTCCTCAAATCCTCCCAAATCACCCTCAAGTCCCACCAAATCCCCCCCAGACCACCCCAAAT